AACCAAATGTATTACATAAAATGACAATTTTGATCATAAGAGTGAATTAAAAACAAAGAAAGGTTTGATTTTCTCTCAAATTCTTGCTCTAATTTTTCACAGGATTTGATGATCCTTTTGAATGATTTGAAGTTTGAAGAAAAAGCTACATTCTATACTGTACATAAATAAAACACAATCTGACAAGAACAGATTGCAATGCTATAGTGTTTACCCATCAAACCAATCTTTTATTTGCTAACAAACCATACAGTTTAGTGTGTTTTATTTTCTTTTTGCATATTAACAGATCTTCAGACAGACAGTCAGAAGCTGCCACACATCACAGAATTTTCCATTCCTCCCCAGCTTCACGTTGAGTTTCTCCACCTGAGCATTTCTCTACAASCGAGTTGCGGTTTTCTGTTGTTTCATTTTTCTCTTTAATTTGATTAAATAAAATGCCCTTTTCTGACCCGGAAGAGACGTTTATTTATTAACTTAAGCCTCTTTCYCTATAAACCTCTTATCTCTTGGTGGCAGCCCCAACAGACAGTGACCTAGATCTCTGTGGAGTCTGTGTTCAACAATTGCACTTATCTCTTTGRTTGTGCTGGTCCAAACTTAGATATGCAAGAACAGCTCCAGAAACAGTGTATATATGCCCCAGTTACTATTTCACATTAAAAGCATAAGAGTGATCTAGAATCTATCTTCTTCAAGACATAATATGTTATACTGTATGTAGTATTTGTAGTATTTTATATTGTACTTTATTAAATTTATTACTAACATACAAAAGGTAAGTTCACTGAATGCCTTTTTCCCGAGCCTCTTTGTCATAAACATTTTGTTTGAAGATCCTTACAACACTWTAAAGTACATAATACACTTTTGTAGGTCATCATAAAACCTTTGAAAAGCACCGAGTATGAATTTTTCCATAAGCCCCAACARAAAAAGTGTGTCCTGTTTTAAATTAACAAGTTGGTAAAATGATGAACATGGAAGTAGGCAAAAAAAATAAAAATAAAAAACAAGTGAAAGATCAAAGATACTTAGAACCTGTAAAAATATAAGTACATTACTGTCATCTAACAARGCCACTATTCTGAGGCCTGTTTTATGCTCGGAGCTGAATACAGCAGATTTAAAACCAAGTGGGAAGGCCCTAGTATTCATGTAAGAACACATCTTTTCTGTGAGTCAGTTTGTCACGCCAGACRTTTACAGAGTTCTAGAGAATTGGGTTGTTTGCTAATTTAAAAAGACGTTTATCTACACTAGTGAGCCCCACTAAAACTTGAAAGGAGCACACCCCCAGGACTCTAGAATCTTCTTTACCTTTCAGGTAAAAGTGTGGCAACACATGGGTAAGACAGGCCCAATTATAATACAAAAATCAAAAGGAAAAAAAATTGTATAGGTC